TACAATTAGCTATTTACATAAATGTTGCCATGATGTGTGGAGGAATAAGAAGTGTTGAGGACCAGGATCTCACCAACACTCACAGATAAAGAAAAGAGAGAAAAAATTTTGGGCTGCAGCCACATCAAATCATTCACAAATCAGAAGATAGCAGCATTTCCAGTGAGTAATTTACTTCATCTATAACCAGAATAACCTTTTGGGTATACTTTTTCTTTCCATTGGTTTTAAAGGACTGTTAAGCCTTATATAGGTGCCTAATGGTAGATTGGAAACAGATATATGACAAATTTATAAGAAGGTTAAAAATAAGATTAATTTAGGAGACATGAACAAGAGTATTCACATGTAAGACAAAGACAACATCCTCAGTAATTCCTCCTTGTAAAAAAAGTCACTCCATAAGCAGCAAATACAACTGAGCCTGTTTTCATGTATCTCATTCTACACCACTGCCCCCAGCTCCACTCAGAGTTTTTATATTATTTCTTATTATGGTACCCTCTTAGCAGGCCATGTCACATTTTTCACCTAACTTTGCCAAGGGCCAGAGGCAGCCAGCCTTGGCACACACAGTCACAGTGCTGCATCCATCAGCAAATGCTGCCTGGCTGAGGGGCTGCCACTCTCACTGCTGGGCACAACCCACTGCCAGATCATCACTGGAATCACCCAGTTTCCTTCCTGGGCAGTGCTTTCACAGGAAATCAGACCTGGGTCCAAAGAAGGCATCATGAAGTTAAGGATGGAGAATGAATGACAGTAAATGTGTTTTTTTTCCCCAGTTTGCCAATTTTAATTTTGTCCAAATTAGGTCATTTATGTTTCAGGGTCCTGCTTTGCATTTTTTTTTTCCTTTCTTGATAGGCAGAAGAAGATTGCTTCGTGCAAGGCAGTATCAAAGCTGCTCCCTTTGAAGGCCTTTTGTACTTCTGCTCTATTAGAAAAGTATTTAGAAACTCTTCCTCCACCTGCTTCATGTAGGGTTATGAATTTTAGCAAAATGGAAAAACAGGTTGCTTTGCACATGCTACAAGTAAAGAAACCCTTTATGCTCCATTAACTCAAGATGCAGCATTAAATAAGACCTGTGGAGTATCTGACTCAAAAATTTCAGGGTAAATCACCAGAGCCACAAGTTAATTTCTACCTTAACACGTGTCTCAGGCACTAATCCCTGTGTCAGAGAGGCATCCCAGTGTCATCCTGACAATACTGTGTAAGCATTTCAGAGTGTAACTTTATTGTTTCACACATAGGCAAAGCTTTGAACATCTTGAGTCTTCCAATCTGCTTAAATTCATTGCAAAAATGGCCTACAGCCAGCCCAGCTTGACTGTGATCCCAGTGGCTCTTAAAGGTCAGGCAGGTGAGATGCAGGAGAGGAGAGGGATGCAGGAGCAAAGGAAAACACTCAGACATATAAAAAGGGTGTTATCAGTTTACTACATGGTCTGACTGCTTTGGATCCCACAGCTCAGCAGCCCAGCTCTGTTCTTGAGGAAAGGCTGTTCTCATGAAAAATACAAAACTTAAGCACAGCCTTCAGTTCCTCAGGATAGCCACACTGTTTTAAAATCAGGCTCCTGGAGCTGACTTGCCAGGAAGGCTTTAGCACTGGTGGAGGCTCCAAAACTGTGCAGGAAACAAGAGTTTCCACCTCTGCTGTGCCATGAATCCTGCCTTTCTAGAGAATGTGTGTCATTTTTTCCCACAAAGGCATCTGCAATTGATTTTCCACTGATCACTTAGCAGAGTGGAGGCTGGTCTACAACACAAGTAAAGGATAATAAATGGAAGGCTTCCAAACTCTTCCTAAACCATGCACTTATAATCCAATCTTCTAAACATTTGGACCAGATTTTCAACTGGAACACTCCGCACTGTCTCTAACCAATTCTTTAAATGCACACTTAAGAAGGAAAGAAAGATAATCCTGTGATTAATCCCAAGAAATGGGTTCAAGGGGGATCTCAGGCCAGTGGCAGAGCTGGAGATTGGCTTACTCAGACAGTTAATATGGCTTAACTTGTCGGTGTCTCCATTCTCCAAAAGGACAAACAATAATTTACATCTCTTTAGTACTGTCTTAAAGTTTTCAGATTTTTGAAGGGTTTTAGGACTGCCAAATAGAGATTGTGTATTGCAAATTATGGTTGTTTGCTCAAAGTTTAAACAGTTTCTTTGGTGAACACATACCTGCAGAAGTGCCACCTGTCAAAGACAGAGAACAATGGTTATTCCAGGCATGTGAGAGCACAGAGCAAATGTTCCTCAAAGTAAAATATTAGAGCTATACTGAATCAAAAATCTTATTTTCTGTGGATGAGTACCCAGCAGTTCTGTTCTCATTCGAAAATAGCAAACTTTTATTTTTCCACTGATTTAGCTTGAATGTTTTTTTCACTGTTACTAGACAAGGACAGTGAAGCTTACCTTTTCAAAGCCTTCAAGGAAAATGGCTTTGGGCAACTCCCAGTAACACTGGAAAGTCCTGAAAATCTAGCTTAGTTATAGCCCATAAAAATAAGGACTTTAATGAAAATATTTTTAAATGCAGTAGCACAAACGTAGAACTAAAACTATGAGCTATAGAGAAATTACAGAGAGACAGTGTCTATCTTTTTGTAGGAAACCTGTTTTCATAGTTAAACCTGTTTGTGCATGCTGGATGATAAATGCCTCCTGCTTTCAAGGAGTCCTTAAAAAGAGAAAAAGACTTTTTAAGAGATGCCTACCAACTCTGTTGCCATGGCAGCTGCAAGCATCAGCAATAACCCAGAGTTTCTAGGATATAATGTGTATGAAACCCCATTAACAAGTTCCACATTAGTGCTAGGTAAGGTCATCTGGTGGCTCAGTGTCATAGCTTGGAACTCAATCAGAGAAGATCTAGATCCAAGCAAGGTCTGTTTCTGATACACCCTGTTCCCACACCTTAATGATACACGGTGTGGAAGATGATTATAACTTCTAGACAAAAATTTTACCTGCAGGCTGCCTGTGCTGCTGCAGTCTGCACTTGAAAGGTGGGAAATGGAAGCATGCAGAAATCGGAAAGCTGGGCACAGAGAACTTGAGATCACATGCAAGGAATCAAGAATAAATACTGTTCTTTTGCTGTTTCTCAGCCGGGTGAATGTTGTTTTCATTACTCAAGCGTCAGCTTTTCTAAAAAAAGTCACTGCCAGATTCTTGTTTCCTTTCACTTCAAATCTGGGACATGCCCATCTTTTTTAAGTCCTCTTTGGAATCAGAGGAGACAAGGACAAAGCACAGAAGGGCAAAAGCTGGGATTTTTCCTACTGCTTAGTCTCAGATTCAACACTGTGAGGGAATTTCCTTCCAGCCATTGGTGTCTCGTGCCCTATGTCATTGCAGGAAAAGGTACAGTGGCTCTCTGCTTGCTAATGCTTGTCTCTTACCAAAGCCCTGAGGAGCACCTGCAGCATCTCCAGGGCCAGCAGTGCTTCTGGAGAAGAGCCACCATCCTGCCCCAGGACACTCAGAGCAGTCCAGTTCCCCATCACCCTTTCTTGACTGGAAAATCAAGATGATGTTTCCTTTCCCCCCTTGCTGTCCTTGCTCCATCAGCTGCCTCAAGCAGGAGCTGCAAGCAGGGCAGTGATGGACCTGCTATATAAATAATTGCAGGAAGCTGCTTCATCCCAGTTCCATGAGTTTTGGGCCTTCTTCTCCCTTGCACACCTGAATAACAGAGAGAAGGAAATGAGCTCCAGTTCTGGCTTTGGAGCACGTGCAACTTCCTGTTCTGTTTAGATGGCTTTGCTTTTCTGTTGTTCTTTAGGTACGTTACTTCCACGCATTTTTTCAGACCCAAAGAACTAATTTATTGTTATGTCACATAGTGCCTAAACTAAAGGAAAGGATTAATATGCCTCATGTATTTAAAGTATCTGGAAATAAAAGTTCAGTTTGTTTGAGTGAGGAAGGAGAATTACTACTCACTGACAACCTTACAAAAACTTTACATTTTTCAATCTTGAAATATATACCACTGAAATATTTTGGAACTTTCAGTGTATGTAAATACAATTTTCTCCTCTTATGATGGAGATTTATATAAATGGACTGATCATCCTACTGACTAGACTGGAGAAAGATGTTTATTTTGCATTTTTAATATTCCATTATTTTATTTCAGAATTTTGTGGGGGGAAATCAGTTTCTATTGCAAATAATTAATCTAATTCACATTTTATCCAACCTAAATCAGTCAGTTTTGCTTGTCATGAATCTTTCTATAAGGGACACTAAATAATTGCTGTTTGTCTTCATTCAAGAATTCTCTAATTGATATTAAGATCTGATTCATTACAATAATTATAAGGCAACATTTATGTATTTTCTGAAGCCATGGTGGCAAACTCCCATTATCATTAATACTGGATCTTTGCACTTCTGAATTTTCCAGGATTAAAAATTGGATCCACATCAGACTTGAATATACAGTTAAATCTCTGCCACATTAACTATAGTGCAAACAGCTGATGCACGTATGTTCCTTTTATCCTAGCTGTGAGAATATAGATTACATCCAGTTTGTTATAAAAACTGAAACTGGAATATTAACCCATAAAACCATGAGGAAATGTGAACCAGGAGAGAGAGTTTTATCTGGACAAATGGTTGGTACTGTATGCCTCCATCAGTTTTTATTTTGCATCACAAGCCCTAGAGCTGGAGTTATTGAATTGTCCAACCTCAGCCCAAATAACTTCTGAAATTAACTCACAGGCTTGATAGTATATCTCTTTCCCACCCTAATCTTGTTTAGGATAGCAAGCAGGCCTATTATAAAAACACCTCATATGTGCAGAAATGTGAAGGCATGCCAGCACTTCTTGGAAATGGATCCAAGATTCCATTTTGGTTAAGATGAGAGGAAAAAATGTCAGTCATCTGGTATTGCCTTAAGGCAGCATTTAAGAAAAAAAAAAGAAAAAAAAGAAAAAAAAGAAAAAAAAAGAAAAAAAAGAAAAAAAGAAAAAATAAAAAAAGATGCTGTGTGATTGCTGAAATGCATGGGCGGGCAATGGTGATTTCAGTTCCTCAAATAGCTGCACTGTACAGCAAGGCAGGATAAAGATAGAGTGATCTGAGATCCCCTGCTAAAAAGCATTATCAGCAGGATGAGTATTTTAATTGCTTTCATACTGTCGATTTCAAACTTGAAACCACTGAAGATGCATCACTCTTGGTATGACAGAGAGTTCCTGTAAAGGAGAAGAAAATAGAAAAAATTACTCTTCACATTTGCTGTCATTTTCAATTCTTTTCTTTTATACTCTTCCTTCCTGCTGCCATTCTCTTCCTTGCCCTTATTTCCACTGCATAAACTAAAAAAAAAAAAAAAAAACCAAAACAAAACCTAATTTAAATCTTTGTAGAGAATGAATGGAACAGGTTCAAGGCAAAATAAATACTCAGCTGGGCTTGTTTTCTTCCTACCACTAAATAATACAGCATGCAAACCATCCAAACATTAAAAAAAACTTCTTTTCCTAATTATTATTTTTATGTTAAGTTCAGTGAGGTGAAGAATAAAGAATTTCAACAGTCTGCAATACCCTTCTGAAGAACAACAACAATTTTATTCAGGACACAGACATGAAGTGCTCTTTCCAAGGAGAAAGGATAGATATTGCTGCAAGTGTTTTTGAATGTTCTCATTGAATAGATTTTCTATTCTGCTAGTAAAAGCTGGGAACACCTGGACCTAGAGAATCCAGGGAAGATTTTGCAAACTGAACACCTTCTCCTCCCCCATCTCTCACCCTGATTAGGTAAACCAAGCAAATTTTAATTCTGTGCCAGAGAATGCATTAAACACAAACACAACCCCTCAGATGCTGCTTGCTAAAAATCACTTCTACTCAGATTAAACTTTAAATATCTCCTGTGAAGACCCTGCTTAATCATGCAGCTGTACTGTGTTGAGCTGCCTGGGTTTCATTCCCTTTAGAGCACTCCTCTTGTTACTGAACCTGCATTTTCCCGGAGCAGTTTAAAGCTATTGTGTCACACTCTGCCTTTGATACCTAAAGAGAATAATAGGTTTCCAGTATGCAAGGAAGACAAGCCTGGTGTTGAGCAAGGCCTAAGGGCTGCCCCTGAGAGTACAGACACAGATATTATCTTTCCTGTGAAGACATTATTGTTCCATAGCTCCAGGAAACATGCAGTAAAATGTTCAATTAAAGTGGATTACATGTTCTTAGCTGGTCAGCTATAATACCTAAGCTTAAAAATGTATTAGGGGATCCAGGAAAGAGCAGTGCTTCTTTGCTAACCTCAAAATTCTGCCCTTTATGTTGTGGATGCATTTTTCTTTCATGTTCCTTTGCAAATTTTCCTGGGAGCAATCCAGTTGTACAGAATGGCTGCTTTTACTATGAACATTACTTCCTGCACAAAATCTGGTCTGAATACCTTTGCACTGCAACAGCTTAAGCTGAGAAGGGGGGGGTCATTTACTTCTACAGTCTTTTGTTTTACTTTGTTGCAATTAATTTTTTATTATGTAAGTCAAATTTTTACACTGCTCTCCAGTATGGCCCCTGCAAATATCCAGGCCTCAAAATCCTTCAAGAATGAGTTATCCAGGTATCTCGGTTTTCTCTGTTCTAATCCAAGATTGGTTCAGTTCTGACATGACATGAGAGATGTGAGGTAACTGAACACTCCTGTGGCACATGCCTTTATTTCCTGCTGTAGCTACATGGCAGTTTGTAAGGGCTGCAAAAGTCATGCCTTGTTATATGGTAAAGATTGCTTTCCACTGGCTCCTGTAGCAACTACTACTGGAGGGAAAGAACATGATGAATGTTTGAGTGGAAGAAATAAAGCTCTGTTGGAGCAAGTCCCTGAGAGCCCTTCTATTTATTCAAGTTCAGTGTTTTAGGAAGTCATTACAATGAGCCATCCCAAAAACCAGCTCAGCAGAAAAATGTATTTAACTGAAAGCCATTGTATTCAGCTCTCAGGGCAGACACAGCACACTGTGTTAATTCAAGAATTAGAGTTCTTTGTTTAATCCCCTTATTTCCTCCTTTCAGCCTGCCATTGTTCCTTCTCTCACTCCCAGACACACAGGGAGGGGCAGGTCCCTTCCACTCACCCCAAGGCCAGCAGAAACCTGCCAGCACATCCCTGACTTATCCTTCCACTGCTTCAAGCTTTCTAAATGCAACAAGTGACTGACTGAAGCTCTTGTCTCTAGAGGAGCTGGAAAAACAACTCCTTTCTTTACTTTATCATCATCTGGGAAGGCCTCCCTGATTCACAAGCTGACATGGAAGCTCGATTGAATTTTTACCCACTCTTCCTCTTAATCATTTTTAGCCAAAACCCCCTGAGGAATAAGTGTCCTCACACTTAAAGTAAATCTATCAGCCAGGGTTGCTGTGTCTCAGTGTGGAGTGATACACAGAGCTGTCTTCACTTCCTCCTCCTTCTGACTGGAATCCCAGCAGGATACAGGAAGGCAGGAGGCCCTTTAAAATCCCCTCAGCATCAGAGGTGCACCCTTTATATGGAACTGGCAGCTGCTCCTGTATGAAAATTTAAACACTTTAAGGTATCTTTTAAGTGGTACAAAAGGTGGAAAAAGCACCACAGATGATAAGTAATCCAAGGCTTCCCAACACAAACACAACCTGTTGCAATGTCCATTTTTTCCAAATAGATGCAACCACCTTCCATTACAAACCTGCAGCTTAAGGTTGGAGGATGCAGCCATTAATAGACCAGCAAACAATATGTAACTGATTATGGCTTCACTTAATGTAACTGTGGTTACACAGAGCTCTTTGTTTTTTAAGTCAGTGCCAGAGACACAATTTTACCAGACAATTGTGTTAATATATCTGTATGTATGCTTGTTCAAGTTATGTGAAGGAAGGCAAGGGATTCATCTCATGACAGACAAATGATAGGTGTCATGCTCCTTTTTAAGTATTTTTTTCTATGGGTAACATTTCTCATATGTTTTACATTTATTTTACCAAAACTTAATTTAGAATAATTAAAGAAAATATCTTCCATTTACAGTATTTCTTACACTCCAGTACTTTTCATTCCTACTCTGCCAGACTGGTCTTTCTGCATATGCAAAAAAAGTATCAAATAGCTGAACTGTGTAGCAGTCAATAGTTGATATTTTCTATTCCAAATGGCACGAGAATATGTTGGTTCCCAGGAATTATGGGCTAGCTCCTTAAAATGTGTGAATTCTAAAGATGAATGGCCTGATCAATAAAATCAGAAAATGTTATTACACTGGATAACAGGATTTCTGCTTTTTTTCTTCTGTAGCAGTGATCTCGTCAGAGCTGTGAGTATTTGCAGTGATGTAACTATGGCGGTGAAGTCACACAGCAAAACTGTGGTAAAGATAAGGCTGAGCACTGTTTTCACTGAGTTTATGGAAGGCAGGTATCCCCCTCAGATTTGTGGAAGTGGGAAGGAATTCTACTACCTTCATCACATTGCTAATAAAATATCTCTGAGAGATCCTACAGAGTTCCAGAAAGATTTAGCAGGCTCACGATTTCCAAAGTCACTATTTTGCTAGAGAACAATGCAGTGCTGTCATTACTGACCTTAGTACAACAGGAGAATTGCACAACCACGAGCCACAGTGCCAGGGTCAGTACCCATGGGAGACGAGCCAGATTTTCCAAGGGAAAGGGCAGCTGAAGCTTAGGGTGCACGTATCCAGAACAGACTTCATTTGCATAAACTCTGCTGGCATTTAGTTCAGCAAGGAGTTCTTTATAACACTACAGTGAGATGTTATTGTAGCTTTAGTTAAATGCTGCATTTTCTCTTAGCATGACTTATCACAACATCAAGCCATTACCATTAGTTAATGGAAACCAAGCACTATGATACTACAAGTTCTCGTAACATTTCCTGGAAAACACATATGATATTTCCAGAAGGCATCCTAAACTACTTTTTTTAACTGCTTTGCATTCCAGGAAAGAAACACCACAAGCAATAAACCCTTATAAACATTTTTTTAATAGCTAACATTTCAGAATTAAGAGGAGAAAAAAGAAAAATAAAGAAAAGCAATAGTCTCAGTAGTTTTCTCTTCAGCTGAGATTTGCTGGAGAGCATAGTGTCTCAGAGCTCTTTAAGAATATTTAGAACTTTTCTCTTTGCAAGAGATGTAGCTGAAAGGGGGAAGACAGGAGAGGTGTGGAAGAGGCTTTCACTGGGCAGTCTGCAGTTCCAGCAGCTTTGTAAACTGTTGAAAAATGCTTACCTTATGGCTTAATCAATATTATAATAATGTCTAATAATTCCCTTAAAATTAAATTGTCTGAGGTCAGGTTCCTTTTTTCTTACATCCATTGGTACCTTCTATTTCATATGATAATTAATGTCCACATGCAAAGAAAAGGATTTATTTATATTTTGAGTAAAACTTACCCTTTAAAAAGCCATAAAAAACCCCCAAAGAAGTGACCCACTAACATAAATCTAATTTATTATGTTAGTGAATTTTTTTCTGTTCCTCAGTTTAAGCCCATTTATAACTTGATTTATTTTTTAAGCTTTAATAATTTTACCTCTTTTGTGTTTTCATGGATTTTAGTAGCACAGTTCTTCTTAAAGCCTCAAAATATCCCCAAATAAGAAAAAAAAAATTATTCCTTAAAATAAAATCTGCAAACTGCTTACTTACAAAAGAGCCATTTTAGTTGTACAAGCCCAGAGTGATTGTGAGCTGTTACCCAGCATGTGATATTTGCCATGTGCTGTCTTAAAATCCACAGCCAGGAGGGAGGCTGATAATAGGTGAACAAAGTGACTTCTAAGAGCAGAGTGAACAGGTGACACAGCAGATCTCTCAGACTTTCATAGGAGAGGTTCTCTGGACCTCAGATCATCTTCCTGGCCTCCTCTGGGGCTGCTCCAACAGATCCATGTCTCTCCTGTGCTGGGGACCCCAGAGCTGGATGCAGACCCCCAACTCCTTCTCCTCAGGGCTGCCCTCAATGACTTCTCCCAGTCTCTGCTCATGTCTGGGAGGTCTTGAGGGACTCCAGTGAGCTTAAGGCAGCCTCAGGTTACATGCACTATTAAAATGTTGTTTACTGAAAGCATCAACATTATAATTGTGAACCATCTGGCTCAGGCTTCCTGGATAGGTTGCTGAGAAAATGAGACTTAGCCATGAGAAATACTTCTGCATAGCAGGGACTCCTGAGGAAAGGATCAAGAGAAATCAGTAGTGGTTGAGTCCCCTGCGGTAGTTATTGCTTTTTGAAGCTGTGGGGGAATAGATGTGTCTACTCTGATAATGGTAAATATTAATAGTCATGAAGACTGGTCAAAAAATGAGAATAAGAGAGAAAATAATTCAGGGGCTGTGAGCTAACTGTCAAGCCAGCAACCTGCACTCGTAAAATGTTAGCATTTCAAAAGGATGGTTGCTGCACAGTCACTGTGACACTTGAGGGTAATAGAGCCTTATCTGGAGTGGCAGGAAGAATTCTAATTCCTGTAAATGACCAGCAAGTGCACTCTAGCATTGAAACAACCAAAGATATCCCTGGAATGTTGGCAGGCTGACCTGAAGCAGCTGGGACCTCAAGGTTCAAAAAGACTCTGCTGTCCTCAGCACTGGGTTTGAAAGAGATGGTGTCACATGAGTGGCACAGAGGGCCAACACAGCCACATCCCAAAGAGGAAATGTGATGGCAGCCTTTAGTCCTCACCAGCCAGCAAATGATTGCAAAAAGATCCAACACCAATAGAAATAGTCAAAGACAGGATTCAGCAACCTGGGTCAACCTTTGAGATGGTTTTCAAAACCAGTGTTCAGAGAAGATACTGGGAAAGGAGATACATGGTCACAGAAATTCAATAAAGACTCTGCTTCCTCTCAAAATGGAGTGATTTCATCAGTCTGTGAGCTGGTTTTCTGCAGCTCTATGCCAAATCCCTGATGCAACCCTGAACAAGTTCCTTTCCTTCCACAGGGATCTTCTTCCCCTACCACATTTTGTCCATCTTCCCTGCACAGCTTGCAAAGTCTTAGGGCCAGGATTGTCTGTTGCGACATGACTGGTGATGTCCTTGTCAAAACTGTTTTCCAGGCACCAGCCTCCCACAGATAATGGAGCACAGAACAGCACAGTGACAAAGCTGCTCTCTGTGCAAAGAGCTTATGCTAAGCTCTGTAATTAAGACATATGGGGCCTTATCCACAGCTTAGAGAAGTCAGTGGAAACACTGTCTCGTAGGCTGGATGACAAGATGGTGATGAAGCAGATTTTATTTTAAGGAATCTTTTTTTTTTTTTTCTATTTGGGGATATTCCGAGGTTTTAAGAAGAACTGTGCTACTAAAATGCATGAAAACATAAAAGAGGTAAAATTATTAAAGTTTAAAAAATAAATCAAGTTATAAATGGGCTTAAGCAGTGGAACAGAAAAAAATTCACTAACAGAATAAATGAGATTTATGTTAGTGGGTCACTTCTTTGGGGGTTTTTTATGGCTTTTTAAAGAGTAAGTTTTACTCAAAATATAAATAAATCCTTTTCTTTGCATGTGGACATTAATTATCGTATGAAATAGAAGGTACCAATGGATGTAAGAAAAAAGGAACCTGACCTCAGACAATTTAATTTTAAGGGAATTATTAGACATTATTATAATATTGATTAAGCCATAAGGTAAGCATTTTTCAACAGTAAAGAAAAATGCCAGTATGCCTGTGGAGAGAGTACCTGGTTGGACCACTACATGCCAATATTTAGTAATTTCCTTATGTGACAGTTTGCCTGTAAAGAGGAAAATATTGATTCCTCTTTGGCTTTGCAAATCAGTGCCCTTAAGTGCTCTGGCCAGAAACTCATAACACAGCAATACAAAAATTAAGTTCAAGGAATGAGTCTGGCCCTAAATGTTCAGGAGGCAGAGAGAAGCATTTTTCTTGCTCACAAAAAGACATTTAGGCTCCCAGTTTCCTGTCTTGCAAAGTATATTGTAGAGACTCTGAAAATAAAACATACAGCAAGCATGGTCTGCTGTAACCCAAACAATTACAGTCATCACAACAATAAATTTTTAAACAGCTAGGTAATATATAATAAATAAAAGATGAACAGGAGAGCACTCACAGCTACTCCCCTAATGCATCTGGAAAGTAATTAACTTTTTTTCCTCCGTTAAGAATGTAATGTATTATACCCTGGCAAAGGAGGAGCCTGGCCATGCATCCCTGATGAGGATTTATCTGAGGTTGGACTCAGAGGGAGCAGACCTGCCATCCATCCTGCCAGAGCACAGCCTCTCCCTGTCCCTGCTCCAGCACTGCCCTTCCCCTCCCGGCAGCAGGTGCTGGATCAGGGTGGCAGAGCTGCAGGGGGACACTGGGATGGGTACCAGGATGTCCCTGCCCAGTCAGGGACACACCAGGCCCCTGCTTTGCCAATGTGGCTCCAGGCAATGCTCACAATCGCCTGCCAAGGACTAATGAGAAAATAATCACAGCAGGAAAGGAATTACAGACACCCTTGGAGGCCAGTGAGCCCCTCCTGGGGTTCCTGGCATGTGGCAAAACATAAATCTTATTGCAGGGTCTGGCATAAATCTTATTGCAGGGCTGCCCAGGCACTGGAACATGGGAGTGGCGTCACCTCAGGGCCTTCCTTGGTCTTTTGTGCTGGTTTCACCCCACCAAGCCCCAGGCAGCCTCACCCACTCTGTGCCTCACCAGCAGGACCAGGGAGGGAATCAGAAAAGTGAAAGACAGAGAACTCATGGACTGGGATAAAGACAGCTTAATAGGGAAAGCAAAAGCCATGCACACAAGCAAAGCAAAACAAGGAATTCATTCACTGCTTCCATGTTCAGCCATCTCCAGGAGAGCAGGGCCCCATCCCACTTATTGGTCACTTGGGGAGACAAACATCACTCCAAACATCCCCCTCCTCCTCCCCCAACTTTATACTCTGATCCATGATGTCACACGGTCTGGAATATCCCTTTGATCAGTTTGGGTCACTTGTCCTGGCTGTGTCTCCTCCCAGCCTCCCATGCACACCACTCTCCTCACCAGCGTGGCAGCAGGAAAAACAGGAAAGGTCTTGGATCTATGTAAGCCCTGCTCAGCAATAACAAAAACATCTCTATATCATCATCATTATGTTCAACACAAATCCAAAACACAGCTTCGTAACAGCCACAGTGAAGAAAATTATCTGCAGCCCAGCCAAAAGGAGCACACTCTGACATTTCCAACCATCATGAGTGCTGGGAATGGGAGCACTGGGGGATCCCAATGAAGGGACAGCAGATCCATGCCCTTCTCAGCCAGGAGCAGCCAGGGACATTGGGCATGAGGGCAGGACCAAGGCTCAGCTGGGACGGGAGCTCCTGGCTGGGCAGGGCTCAGCTGGGCAGGGCTTGGGGAGCTGGAGCCAGCACTGCTGCAGCATCAGGGGGTGCTGGGCTGGGCTCCAGGGCCATGGGCAGGTGCAGAAGCCCTGGGGAGCTACCAAAGGACAGTCAGGGCTGCCATAAGCTTTGTCCAGGTCATCAGAGCTGGGGCTGCCTCAGCTCCCCATGGAAAAATGGAGCGTGAGCATGGCCAAGGTCTTGTGAGGAGAAGCAGTTGTGAAGCACTGAGCCACTGTGTTTTCCCTGGTGGGAATGGCAAGAACTCCTCAAGTGTGTTGCCAGAGCCAAGTTCAATGGAAACTCCCACAGCTGGTTTAAAAGGAGAGAGGTTGCCAATGTGGGTAATGCATCAACTTTGGCATTTACAAGAAATAGCACGAAATTGATGTGCTCTGAGGTGTATTGCAAAATCAATTACTGCTGGAAACTTTTAGAGAATGGAGATGTTGCTGAGGGGAAACTTTTAGAACAGTCAGAAACCTAAATTCATTTGTATTTTTCTTAGATGATCTCATTGACTGCTCCTTTTTAAAGATTAATGATGCTTTTAATCCATTGTCAAAGATTCTGGTGGTAAAGGTGGGTGATTGGAATTAATTTAGATTAAAAAATGCATCACACTAAATGCAAATTAAAGCACAGGCTGAGAAAGATTCTAGGTAATGTTTTTAGTAGACAGTTTTTCAAAGGTAGCTACAAAGGAACAGATGATCTGATGAGTGGTTTTCCATGTCTGATTTGTGTGGTGAAGACACAGGGAATTGCTCCATGGCTACCCACTTCCTGATCTAAACCAGCTACCCTTGCATTTCATTTAATTTATACTTAGAGAAATCAAGTCCCAGCCAAACACTTGAGGGCTGATTAATTCCTGGAACATCTGTTGGAGGCAGGCTATTATTAGACATGAACTTTTGACATAATCTGCAGACATAATCATACACAGAGATTAACCTCTCCTCAATAAGCACAGTCCTGCGCTGCATCCGGAGCAAGACACCATGACCCAGATTTCCAGCTGTGGCTGAGCAGCAGCACAGCCCAGCCCCAAAAGGCAAAAAAAGCCTGACCTCAGCTCTCTGTGTGCTGGTCCAGTCCCATGGTAGAAGTTGGAAAAACCTGTGCCAGCTGCCGATGGAGACAGAGGTCTCCAGGGGACACAAAAGCCACAACTGTGACCCCTCCATTCAGTCATGCAACAGAAGTAGTCAGCAAGAAAAAAATGAGTTTGAGAGGGCTAAATCAGCTCTGAGCTCCTGGGATATGTCCCTTTTAATGGCTACAGTAGCACCACACCACATCTGCCTT